AGACGTATTGGTCTGTCATCAGTAGTTGGAATAGTATGGCGTACTCTGTCTGTATACCCAACATCATCGGAAGACTTGCTAAATATACTCCTATGTCTACTCAAAAGTGTCTTAAGTTTCAACCGTTCACTTGAGCTCAAACTAATTGAAGGAGGTGGTAATCCCTCTGGCCAAAAATTATCAGTTTCTTCACCGACAACAATATCAGATTTTCCAACAACTACACTCTGTTCTACAATTCCTATATGACACTCATTGAGCTTACTTTTGTCAATTTCATCAACATCTTCTATTCTACCTATTGGTATTTTAGGTTTTATCCAAACATCTTCATGATTTGAATTCATCAGAGGTATTGTCACAATACCATGTACAACCTTTGTGAAAATGCGTAAGGCAGTAACACCGGATGGTATATTACTCATATTTGGCTCAACTAACACCTCAGAGGCATTTATTCTGTTACAAGTGGCCCTTACAAACTTCATTGACTTAGCTTTTAGAAGAACTGGCCTACCTCTAATTATCCTTGCATAACTTACTTTTTCAGCTGACTCTGACCCTAGGCTACTTTTCATTAGCTGATTAACTGTCTCGGGTGGTAACATATTGATTACATTGGTACCTACAATACAATCCTGTACCCCCTGATTGTCATTTACTACTAAAACCCCTACTGGGAAGTCAAGACTATGCCCTGCCACATTCAAGTTACTAATCTCTATATAACCCTTATATGGGATCATGCTGCCATTTGCTGCTTGAATGGTAAGCAGCCCACTTATATCTGTCAATTCTCGTTCACTCAAACACTTACGATAAAGAGATTCTGAAATAGTTGTTACCTGTGACCCAGTGTCTAGTAATCCCTTTAGATTTACACTTCCAATCTTCAGATTTATAGTGGGGCAACTACCTACTAAATTTTCAGGAGCACAGGTTACTGAGTTTGTTGCATTTACTTGGCTTTTCTCACTAGCTTTATCCTGTCTCTTCTTGCTGTAACAATCTCTTGAGATGTGCCCGAATTTCCCACAATTATAGCACTTTCTACCTTTTGTCACCTCCACTTGTCTTAACTTTTCTTCCATTTGTTGTATTTGATCCTGTTGACTCTTCATTAAATCTTCTTGGCTCTTCAATTTGTTTTGTTGGGATTGTAATAATGACAGCATCTCCTTTTGAGACTTCAACAACTCTGACATTTGATCTTGTTCTAGAGGTTTCACTGTAGCAACTTCCACTTTAACTTGTTTAGACTGTACTGTAGATGTGTCATCACCATACCACACTATAGCTTTTTCCCTGAACTTGTAGAATGGTATTGCTCTGTCTTCTGAATTTATTTTTCTAAGTTCCCTTCTCAGACTAGGATCCTTTACTCCCTCTTGAAATTTTCCTTTCAGAGCTCGATCTATAGATCTTCTATCCATATCTGGAGTTTTATGTTCAATCTTAGCATGTAATTTCATCAAGGCTAATGAATATTCATGTAAAGACTCATTCGCATCTTTTTGATTTCGACAGTAAAAAGCTTCTTGTAAGATAGCTAGATCGTGTTCTTCCCCAAAGACTTCCCCAAGGATGTTGAAAACTTTGTTGAGAGAATCTTTTTCCTCCTTTGGACGGTACCGCAACTCATCCCTTGCATCCCCCTTTAATTGATTTAACACGTACTCTACGGCATTAGTGTCTGAAAGGTTCCTCGCCTGGATCTGGTGGGTAATGTCTTCTATCCAGTCATAAATTTCAAGCTCTCCGGTTTGCTTTGGTTTCCCACCGAACTTTGGCACATTTGTTTTATCTTGGATATATATTATATTTCCATGTTTCTGCCTCCCTCTGGCATCTGGTTGTCTTTCTCTAACATCGGGTTGTCTTTCCCTAACATCGGGTTGTCTTTCTCTCAAGTCTGGTTTCCTTTCGAATGGTATATGATCTTGGTTATTGTCTTGCATTGACATCTCAAACTGATCATCTTTTTCTCCTCCCTCGGCCATTTTAGCAGATAATTACTAGTATTTTATGAATATTACAACTGAGTTTAGTAACCACAGATAAGTAATTTCCTACACTATATGCTATATGAACAGTAGATGTACAACTTAGTACCTTTATCTGATATGATGAACCAATTTTATAGCAAGTGAACCATATGCGTGAATTGCCTTGGCCTTATCTCTCAATTTTGAAAGACCTAATCTAATGCAATACTAAACCTATCATTGGTTGTTAAACAAACAAATATTTTGGCCTAGCCTGTTCAAATATGCACCTGGTTGATTCAAATACCAAGTCTAGCGACCAATTGCTTATGAAATACCAGGATTAATGTAATACCAAAATCTATAATTGCTTGTGAAACAAACCGATATTTGGATTAGCCTAACCTATCAATTAATACCAAATTAGTAACCAGTCAACATAAGACAGAAGCAAAATGATCACTAAACAGTATCACCTCTCGACTAAGTATTACACGTCTAGTAAACAAATTGTTATTTCTCTTGGCCTTAATTCTTGATTGTGATTTACTCCCTTTCCTCACACAGTAATTGTCTACGCTTGAACAATAACATACACTGAATGAACTATGAAGGAATATGCAGGTACTGTAAACCTATCTGAACAACCATGTGTTTATTTTGTAGTGGCCTATTTTGACCATATATCTAAATTTCCGCACTCTCACTACCAATCATATATAGATGTGATTCTCCTCTGGTAGATCACAGCAATTACCTAAGCTAATGCGAGAGGTCCCGGGTCTAATTGGTTTGACCTAAATGTACACTAAACTAGCTAATCCAAGCATTTTGTACTACTTTATTTATTTGCTTTGGCCTTATATAGAGAAATCTTGTCTAATCTAGTATACAGGGTAACTTTAATTCTATGTAGAATCTGCAGACAGATATGATCAACATATACAAATTGGCATGTATCTAAATCACAGTATTAATTTCATATGTGAAACGCTTCTGAAATACTCTAGCCTAAAATGTACTGTTATTTCAATCATGTCATATTTTCCCTGTATGACTATGCAGTGAGTTACTATAAACTTAAGAGACTAAGTATGAATAATGTTCACGGGAATTCAACTTGATACTACATATATTTATATGTTAGTAAATTGAACACCAAGTATTTTTCTCACCATTCACCACCACGAACACATGTTGCTTTTTTTGTAAATTACTGGCTTTTCTTGTTTATTTGTTCTTGTATCACAACTACACCTTTGCACTGACACTCTTAGTTTCTGATAAAAAGTGTTCGTTTACCACATATAATATACCTTTGACTCAACACACAATTTATTTTGTATGGCCTTATAACACTTAGGCCTATGAGTCACAATATGTACTATTCTACAACATATATATATGTAAACATGTGTATTATGCAATAGATCACTCTTGGATTTTTTGGACTACTAAATCAGTACACCATCCATGCTTATTTCACGAAGTTTCACATGGAACTTTTTTTACCAATTTTATTTAGCCTTCACGAAGAAATATATTTCACACACAGTGACATTTCCAGAGTGATTTCCAATACATGTAATTTTGCTCTGCTAACATAAACACATTTATTCAATACAGTGACTTTTTATATCTCCAAGTGAGGTTGGGGTGGAGATAATACTGAAAACACACTTCGGCCAGTTGTACACAATTATTGGTTACATATATGAATGATATTCTCTGGTTTATGCATTTACACCTGAATCTATGATAAAAATACTCAATATAGAAGTGGAACACACTTGTGACAATACTTTGATTCACAATAAGCCTTTCTATTCTTACTTGATACCTTCACAACTGTATACACAACAGTTGATAAGTCTCTTGAATCTCACTGGTACATGGATATCTTTGATATCTGCTCTCTTGACTGGATGTTGGAACTGGACATGAAGCTTTATATATAAGTCTCTACTTTCCGATGACAACTTCTGTATGAAGAGATTGCTGTAATTCTGTAGACTCAATAATTCAGCTTCGAATATTCTAAATGTTGTTTTGACAGCATATACTGGAATACCTCACCCTGTCAGATCGTGAGTCTATCCTGGTTAGACCGGTACAATGTCAGTACTTTAGATAGGAATATCTTTACTGCAGTTGCTGGATTGACAAGTAGTAGTACCTGTAGTTCATGAGCTCAAGGCAATTTCAATGTAGATGGATTATGCACTTACATTGATTATTGTTTTTAACAGATTCTGGCAAAAACGACTCGATACATTTGTGAAATTCAACCGTACATATACACATGTATCTCGTTATCAATTAATCAATTTGTATCTCACTCCCCTTTGTCAGGAATGTAGCATGTGTAATTCTTAACACTTCTGTCCACGAAATCCTGTTACCACGTAATTGCTCAGATTCTGGGGTTCATAAATCACAAACTACTTCGTAGAGTCAATAACATCAAAAACAGTAGAATGTCTTTGGAGGATTGTTGTTATAATTCGAGGTTAAGTCTCCAAGAGTGTCGAATCACTGAGTATCGTTGCACTGAGTCCTGTTACAATGACTGCATGCACTAAATATATGGAGATTACCAGGATCGCATTATATTATAAACCAGAATTGTTCATTTCTCGGTGATGGCTTCACACAAGGAGTGTTTTGTCAATATTCCGTCCAAGGTTCTTGCCGATTTACCCTGCTCGCAGCGCCATTTGTGAACGTGGGGAAATCACAAAAACTAAGAATATGTATCGGCTTTAAATGTTTTTATTCTCCAACGTCACTAAGGACTAAAAACACTCCTTTATCATAACATACATGTACAACCTCTGCTTATGCAGGTATCGTCTCAAAATTCATTCAGAATTTGAAATACATGTGATCTGGAAACTAAACATGGCCGCCCAACACTGTACAAAAAGACCTTTACATGTATGCTATTCCCGGGAAACATTTCCCACACTATCACATAAATACTTCATGTTTAGCACGCATGTATCAGTTTAGGATTAGTCTCAACAAGATGCCTGTTCGTGAAGTTCTTCTCGTATTAGTCGCAATCATTACGACTCAGTTATGTCTCGCTGCAGAGTATGGCGTTATCGTTGACGCTGGAAGTAGTGGAAGTCGGGCGAGAATTTACACATGACCAGAAAGAACCTCACTAAATCAGATTCTTCAACTGACGGAAGTTGCAAACAAGAAAAGTCGCCCAGGGCTGAGCGCGTATGCCAGCGATGCCACTGGTCTAAGAAACCACATCGATGAACTTATGGACGCTTGTAAAGAAAATGTTCCATCCGAAAAACGAGCGAACACACCATTTTATATAATGGCAACGGCGGGCATGAGATTACTCCCGGGTGCAGACGCTTTCTCCGTTTACCAGCAGATCGATAACTTGCTTATGAACAAATCTTATTGCCCATTTGATTATAAAAGAGGGAACGCCAGAACTCTATCTGGGGAAGAAGAGGGGGCCTTTACGTGGATATCTGCAAATCAGTTGAACGGGCTATTTGGACAGGACCGCACTACAAACGACACTGTTGGAATAGTTGAGTTGGGCGGGGCCTCGATGCAGATTGCATTCGTACCAGAACGTAATATTTTAGCAGATAAATTCCCGGTTTACGTTGCAGGGAGATACTACCCTCTGTATGTCCACAGTTATCTATATTACGGTCAAGATTTTGCAGTTAAGAAGATAATGGACAATTTATTTCGAATCTATGATCGATCATCAGGCGCTACCATTAACAACCCATGTATGCTGACCGGGGATTCGTTAACGGAAACTATGGATGGCGTCAACGTCACTTTCATCGGTACCGCAAACGCTGATCAATGCCTTGTGTTGATACGTGAAGAATTGATATATAAAGTCCCAGATTACCAATGCTATCCCAAGCCATGCGCAATTGGACAAATATATCAACCAGAGATCCCAAAAGACATGGTCTTCCATGCCGTTTCCGCGTTTATCTATACAATTAACGATATTGGCGCTAGAAATGCTAACGATATGACAACAGCCAGCGTTGTCGAGGCAAAAACCAGAGATTTCTGCCAGCTCGGATTGCAAGGAGCCATTGATAAAGCAGGCCAGTGGGGGAAAACCCGGTGTATGGTCGGTCTGTATATAAGCAGCCTCCTAACCGATGGGTTGGGATTTGAACAAGATGAATCGATCAATGCTGAAGGGGAAATCGACGACCAGGAGTTAACATGGACGCCTGGTGCCATGGTCTATGAGATAGAACGACGCGATAGGGGACGCACAATGGACGCCGATGACAAACCCACATCGAAAGCACCATCAACTCATTACTCAATCATTTTAATAAGTTCGCTTCTCACCTTGACAACAGGACTCATTAATGATAATATATTTTGTGCGTAAAGATTTCAATATCATTAATGACTCAAGAAACTATAGAACTTATGATCTACCAAATAATTTACTGACATGTCTTTTTTAAAAGGAATCGTATATGATTTTTGTCAACATCTAGAACAGAACCGGTGTGAAAGGGTAGGAGGTCCTATTAATTTATGGTCCAACGCTCCATTGATTTATATGGTGACCTCTTTTCCTTATTATATTGTACACAATCAGGGCCAGTAGGGGCCGTTAAGAAGAGGGACCATGATCCCTTGGGGACCAGAATTTCTTTTACACCGGACACCTATCATCTCAAGACAAGATGACAACATATTTCATGGTATTGTTTAATCATTATATTTCAGTGTAAACGTGTTAACAGAGTAACAGAAAAAAGAGATACTGATAAGATGATATTAAGATTAAAATCGATCCATCAATGTTTTACATATGACTGGATACATGGATTTATAACAGTATGCTTTTAAATTATAACCATTCAAATTATAATCCATGTGTGTTTCCAAGCGGGTGAGTCAAATCCCTTATTGCACTCCCAAAACTCGGTACGGTTTAAGGAAACCATGAAACCTTATATATTATTATTACCACATTGCCGGGCCAGTTCTAGGGGTTGCTAGTTGAGAAGGCATTGACCGGGAATTTTCCCCGGGAAAGTAGATATCGTTCAGTGCGTAAGATTTTCTTGCTATTTCAGCCCTGGTCATAACAGTGGTAATATTACTAAGTACTATTAAGAAGAATTCAAACCTAAATGGTTTTAACATGCATTCCAATGAGGGAACTAAGAACTTGTTAAACTTTTTGAAGGTGTTATTTGGTGAATGTCTGTAAATATGTACGTGCACGTAGTCTCTTTTTCGTAAGCTATGATAACAGTCAAGAGACTGTCCTTTTGACCAAGGTCATCGTGAAAAAGTTTTATATCTATAAAAACATCATTATACACATGTTTGTCGATAAATATAAATAGTTTAGGACTACAGTAGAACTTAAAGTAGGATTTGGACTCGGATTCGAAAATTAATTGCTAGATTTTAGTTTCATTATGTGGTCCTGTTTATTTATACGAAGGCACCATCCCCTCAACTTGTAAACGTGCAAGAAGAATTGCAACCTAATAACCCTTTAGTTAATCATTATCATCCTCCGATCACAGGGCTTCAAAATCCAGAATATCTTCTTTGGAAGAAGGAGGTACGGATTCTGGACACCTGCTTACGTAGGAGGATGATCATTATAGGTTTTAATAGTAGTTTCTAAAAAATTCAACTGCGTCCTAGTATCCACAACTTTAGATTAATCATGATTAATCATTAATTATGATCTTACTTGAGGTGACATTGAGCAGAGGAATATATATGAGGAACCAAGATATATCAAAAAGAACGTTGTCTGACATAATTGTGATATTTACAGCTTAAGTTACGAAATGGGCTATGTTGATAGTTTAGAATTGTGATATAACTCTCTCCAAATATAGGAGGGTTTGATGGTTTTTAGTGGATTCTTGTATGTATTTCCTCAATGTTTCGTCTCCCCTCAATGACGTTATTCCAAAAATACCATCTTAAATTACACCGACCTTCTGATAAAAATATCAGTCATTCTGATAGTCAATAAAATGTTAGCCTTCTAACAACATTGGTGAATTGTCATCTCATTTATCAATCTTAGTCCAAAATCTAAACTTATAAATCCGCTATTTACTGACTACCCTATTACTTTATCGCACCTACCAAAGAGCTCACCAGATATTAATTGTCAACAGCTCAAAACAATGGCAGATGTACCCGTTATAGACTTCCAAGTATATGGACTCGATGGAGCTACAGACATTGTACCAACAGATGGAGATCTTAAAAAGGTTGCAGTGGAAATGTACGATGCACTAACAAATGTGGGGTGTTTGTACATTAAGAATCACGGAATAGCATCTGACCTGGTAAATTTTAACTTCTTTTAATATTATATCGGCCAAAATAGTTATAGAGTAAAGTAGGGTAGTTTGAGGATGACGAATAAAATGCACGATGGGGCCCAGAATTGTACTTACTTGTACACGACATGCACTTATTTTACGACTACACTATAATGTACTGTACTGTACTGTACTGTACTGTACTGTACTGTACTGTACTGTACTGTACTGTACTGTACTGTACTGTACTGTACTGCACTGCACTGTACTGTACTATACTGTACTGTACTGCACTGCACTGTACTGTAATGTACTACACTGCACTGCACTCCACTATACTGTACGACACGACACGACATTACATGACTTAGCACGGCACCGTACGCAAAATACAAATTACTTTACATGATTTCCATTGCGGATTCTACTTTTAGGATATCAATAAAAGGAACGATGGCACGGACAGATGTACGAGCATATTTCCCATTGCATATAACTGAATGGAAAGTAGGGAACATTTAAGAAAACCAGGAGAAAACAATCCCTCGATACACCAATTGAAAGATTTTTCTATATTGAGCCTTTTTTTGATGCTATTCGATGGTATTGAAATACTGAAAATTCTCCTTTATTTTGAATAATCCTAATGGAGGATTAACAGGCATATTTTCTGTTAGGTCGTATTTTCAAAACAACCAATCTGTAGATGTAGGCTGACTTTGTCATTGCACTTCGTTGTCCTTTAAGAGGTTCAAGGTGATATCAAAGGCAAATGACGGGTTAAAATGACCTTTTAAAAATCTGTGTAGGCAAATACAGGTACTCAGGGTGATCTAAAAATGCAATCCTCTATTTTGAATAAGTTTGACGATAATGATGAAATCCTTTTTATTTTTCTTGCGTAAATGAAGTTCTTTGTGCAGCTCATAGGGATGGACTCAAAGAAATTCCATATTCAAATCATGTTAAATCTGAATTAAGAATATTTTTCTTTTTTCATTATATCCTCACTCGCGTGCCGTGTAACACTATCCTTTGTGATTTCCCAGATACGCACGGAGAAATGTGCTTGGGAAAAACGCATGAGTGGTATCCATATGGAGAGACGTTTCTCTTAAACCAGCCATAAAAATAATCTAAAAATTGAACACATCGTCAATTTAATGGTCCTCCTTTGAATGGTAACAATATAATTCGAAATATATATAGATATACTTTCATCTATATTGTTTTAGAAAACACATCAAACACTTGTTTTGTTCTTGGTATCATGTTTTCAGAGTAAAATGAAACATCTTTCAGTCAGTCAACATTACATAAAATACCGTGTTATTTTACAGAGTGTTTTAAATGATTGGTTTAAGAGAAAAACATAGTTGAATTCAGTTCTCCATATCGATACTCTTTTGTATGAATGATAATCGCAGACCAGATGGGGTAATACTAGTTGATTACTAATTGTTTCAAATGCGTTTGAGAGATACATTTAAAGTGTCAATTTTAAAGGATTTTTACAGGATAAATATACCAAACTGTATTCTAATTCCAGATGAAGAGACTTGAGGCATCAGCCCTTCAATTCTTTAGTTTGCCTTTAGAAGAAAAGTTGAAGGTCAAAGGAAATGCGATTAGCCAAGGATACGTCCCTATAGGTGTAGAAAGGTGAGATTAGTAAGGATGGTTCATTCTTAAGTATATATAATTGTATTATGTCTTTTGATTTTATTTGAGACCGGATGGTACATTGTGAATGAATATAGACGTGCGCACCTTCAGCTATTCATGATATATCATGGTTATTGGATTTCATTCTTGGTTTATTCTTAACACGATGTATTATAATGATCTCCAGTAGGACTTAAGAGATCCATGGTCTCGTGGCATTGGTTTGTGATGATGGTTCCGAAATACAGTGTGACACAAAAATGCAACCCACTAATTTTGGTATAATTTTCTTAATAATTAAGGATTTTTCTGTGAAGATAGTGTTCAATGAAAGAAGATTGGTATGCTTGTATATCAACTACTCGGAGCTTAGGAGATATCTCATTTTCGCAGAGGCATGTTCTGACACGAAGTCATTAAAAATTTAAATTAGAAAATCTGTCTTCTACCCAATAAGCCGCCAAGTTAAAATTTGTCAAAATTCATTCAGGAAATTTTGAATATACGACATATTATTGATTATATAAGCCATGCTAAGACATAAATCCCAGTTTCAGTAAATTGTATTTTTGAACATTTGTTGACAATTTCGTCGAGAAGATACCTGGGCGGAAAACGCGATATATCTAAATCACAAAGTTGTTGATACTATACAAGCACACCAATCTTTTTTCCATTGAACACTTTATCTACACAAATATAAAAAATCATGGAGGTTCATTGATTATTGAGAAAGTTTCTCCAAAATAAGTGGTTTGCACTCATCGCGCCACTCTGTATTAGGAAAGGGGTGTTAGACTGTGTTTCTTTTACAAGATATTTGTTTTTTCCTTTCAAATCATTGGAGTAAGATTGGTTCTATATTTTCAGAGGGAGTTCAACTGAACCTGATGTTAAAGAGTGCTACATGTATTTCCCTGCAAATCTAGCAGTAAGATAGTTTCAATATTGAAACTTTTAATCAAAGCTTCTGTCACATTAGCTCTATGACTTCCGAAGTTTCACTTTATATAGAAAATCTACGTTGTACTTTTTATCCCAAAATGTTTTACTGCATAATTCTCGCAATTTTCGAAAGCTACACGGCCACCGTATGGTTTGATATCTACCCATATATAAATATAAACACTCAAGTTATCTTATGTTAGAAGTAATACAATTATAAAGTAAAACATATTGCACATCTTATCCCCGAAGTAACTATACATTTTATTAACAATTACAGCCATGGCCGGAGATCAAATACTTTAAAGAAAGTTTCATCGAAGTGTTCCAAAACTTCACAATTCTGCAACACAGAATTTTAGAAGTTTTGGCACTTTCGCTGAATCTGGTATGTATTGATATGTCAATTTAAAAAGAATGAAATTTCCACTGGTGTTTTTGTTTTGATTGTAATAATGTTAAGATGGAGAGGAGGGGGGTTCACCTTATTATTTAGGGTTTGTTTGTTATGAGTTGCTGTGCTCGTATATGTTTCTTTCGTTCATGTGCGTACAAATATATAACCATTTACCGATTTTCCATTTTCAAAATATCGAGCTAGATATAATTAACATTATATATATAGCTGGTTTAAATACACATCATGTGTGACAATTACATAGTTGCTATGATGTATAGTATAATAATAATGCAACTCCAATTTAAGGAAAGGGAGTTCTTCAAGAAGCACCATCGTACATTAGATAAGAAAAGTGCGACTTGTATACGTGCAGCATTTTACCCAAAGATGCCAGATGACTTTAAGAAAACCAATGGTCAAGTTAGATGTGCAGAACATATAGATTATGGAGCTCTGACCTTTATCCACCAAGATAATGTGGGAGGTCTACAGGTAGTTATATTGGACATATATGGTGTCTGTGAAAGGTGGGACACTGTATTATACTTAGAAATGTTTGAGATCGCATTGATGAATCATATACAGGGTGTTTCATATGTATGCACCCCCCCCCCCCCCCCATAAACTCATACATGTTGCATTGCCAACCTATCATGTCATATATCATTTTGTTTCTTATGAAAAGTTACATACGATTGCAAAGTCTCAGAATCCAGTGGTGCCCGTGAAAAAGAGATACAATGTATCAAAGTATGTGGGTATGGGTCATTTCAAGGGGAATTTCTGGTAGTTTCGAGGGCAATTTTTAGGAAGATATTTAGATAGGTTTCATACAGTGCCTAAGAGGAAGGTTAAGGACCCTGGTGCGGCCTCTATCACTAAATATGGGTATGAGAAAAGTGAACAGATCACTGGACTGAGTTAAAAAATGACCTAAAGTTACCCTCTAAATGACCCCATACCCGCACACTTTGATACATTGTATCTTTTCTCAGGGACACCCCTTGATTCTGAAACTTTGTAATCTTGTGTAACTTTCTATGAGGAACAAGATGATATATAACATGGTAGGGTGACAGTTTATGGGGCGGTGAATACATATGAAACATCCTGTATACATATCAATTTATGTAGAATTAAATGGGTTTTGATAAAATACATTCACAAAATGAATGATTTGCAAGTTATGACAATTTTATATTCTGAAATCATAATTCACTTGAAATCAGATCTTGCTCCGGGGATATCCCAAAAAAGTCCAAATATTTCTTCAAGTATTTTATATCTTTGGTCGAGCCTGAGATCTATATTTTCTATAGTGTATTTTTGGGAAATATCACCGACAAAGAATTACTTATAGAAATGATTTCTTTAGGTTAAGACTAAATCTTGCAAGTGGATTGATTTGAAGTCAAAAGATGGCGCTCTAGTAGTGCTCCTTGGAGATCTAATGCAAAGATGGACGTCAGATAAATTTTATGCTCCCGTAAGTATATAGTTCACCTGAAACCCAAAAGGCTAGTAGTAGTCAGTACTAATACCTGGTTAGCATATGTCATTTACAGTGTGTACACCACGCCTTGCTACAAGTAAGAGAGGCATTATCTTTTTAAATATATTAATGTGTTTTGGTCATACAATACGTAGAAAGTTTCTCAATTCGTTCAGACAATGAAGGTCTTTTATCCATTTCCACTGTTTATAATGTTGATAATTTCCTCCATCAGGAAGCCAAGGGTCGCAACTTAGAGGCATTTTCACAAATGAGAAACAACTTTATTCAGTTCTAAGATTGTTGAAATATCTGCTCCAAATATAACTTTTATGAAATTTCTTAAACCAAACGATCACCAGAAAACTTCTTTAACAGACTTACACTCCCCTCCATAACACTCCATAGCTCCCCCATTGAATTACGTGTTAAAGCCTCTTTACCTTTGAATTTTTATTTACTTAACCTGCGATGAAAATACTTATACTATTGATGGGAACGTAATTTGACTTATTTCCAATACATCCAAATTTTCTCAATTTTTTCCTCAATTTTTTCCTCAATTACAATAAGTCGAAAATTGACGATAAGTTTGATTAATTTTTGAAAATCGACATTCCCATGTTAACCAAGGTGAAATGGTAGGTTTGCCGCAAGTCATATGACAGAATATCCATCCATCCGAGTCCTTGCAAAAATACGAGTTGGGCAGGCAATTGAATTTGCTAATTTTATTTAACAAAAATTGATATGTTTCTCCAGGTTCAACAAAATTCTAGGGCTTTAAAGTCAAAATTGTTTTTCAATAAACCTCTCCCATTGAGATAACATAGGAGGCGAAAAATAAACTAAACAGTTCGTGTACAAAAAAGTTAGACAATTCAATTTTCTATATGAAAATATTTTTACTGAAAAGATATCCTGATTTCTGATTTGCCCCGAATCCTCCATTTCCAATTGGATTACATGGGAATGACGATTTTCAAAAATTCATCAAATTTATCATCAATTTTCGACCTATTGTAATTAAGGAAAAAATTGAGAAGATTTGGAGGTATCGGAAATAAAGTAAAATAACGTTTCCATCAATATTACAAGTTTATTCATCGCCGGTTAAGTAAATAAAAATTCAAAGGTGAAGAGGCTTTAACACGTAGTTCAATGGGGGAGCTAAGGTTGCCAAACTTAAGGAGGGGAGTGTACAGGGTGTCAAAAAACAACGGCACCCCCCTCTATAGCAAAAAGTACTCATTTTAAAGACAATTTAATTCTGGAGTTGCCTGAGAAATTTCAGCTTTATATCATATAATTTTACAGATGTACAGCTGATTTTTAGTTGTTGGTATGACCACCAGTTGCTACTCAAACTGCAGCTTATCTGGATTGATATGATTTCAATGAAAATTCAGATAAAGGTGTAGCATTGCATAATCCTCTTAGCACTTTCCTCACATTCTTCAGAAATACATCCTAACTGTATCTTTTTTCAAGAGGCTCTTTGTCCATCAGTTCCTATACCCTGTTTTTCAGAACTGAACCCATATGTCCAGTGCAATTGGAATCTGGGCTAATTCTTTCATATTCCACTTTCTGAAGATTTGACCTTTAACCAGTAACAGAGCAGCAAACAAAGTACCGAAGTAGCAAACTTAAAAACAACGTACATTTTTTAAAATAAAGTTTTATTAAATGAAATTTGAGGAGTAACTCCAGAATTAAATTATCTTTCAAATGAGGTATGACACGATATGGGACATTCAGGACTTTTCACTGTAGAGGGGGGGGGGGTGCCGTTGTTTTTTGACACCCTGTATTATTCAACAGTGAAAAAATGTCCTGGGTTTTAGTACATAAATTTTCAAATTAATGCAGAGTCTTCAGAGTGGACCAAATAAATATATTAGCTAGATTCATCATATCATGTCAGGAAGTAGCGTCTAGATACAAAATGATTTCCATATTGATACTGTAAGACTGATGGCAATGTTTCCATGATAAAAGATTTCCTGAACGACCCAGTATAATTCAAATCAATGCAGAGTCTTCAGGGTGGACCAAATAAATATATTAGCTAGATTCATCATATCATGTCAGGAAGTAGCGTCTAGATACAAAATGATTTCCATATTGATACTGTAAGACTGATGGCAATGTTTCCATGATAAAAGATTTCCTCAACGACCCAGTATAATTCAAATCAATGCAGAGTCTTCAGGGTGGACCAAATAAATATATTAGCTAGATTCATCATATCATGTCAGGAAGTAGCGTCTAGATACAAAATGATTTCCATATTGATACTGTAAGACTGATGGCAATGTTTCCATGATAAAAGATTTCCTGAACGACCCAGTATAATTCAAATCAATGCAGAGTCTTGAGGGTGGACCAAATAAAGATATTAGCTAGATTCATCATATCATGTCAGGAAGTAGCGTCTAGATACAAAATGATTTCCATATTGATACCAGGGGGGGGGGGAGATTTCCCAAAGATGCCCTATCATATTAGCACGTTCGAAAACAAATTTTATAAACAGGCCTCAATTTGCCGTTAAAATGGATCTTCAAATGTTCACTGTAGTTTTATGAGTATTCTCTACAAGTATGGATCGAGTAACTTTAATAGTATTACCGTAGGTTTGAAATGATGATGTTGAACTGATGTTGACGCCATTCCCACGATTTCAAATTTAACTTTGCGCATGCGCAGCAGTGAGAGAGCACGTGCTAAGGTTTGTTCACGTGATCGAATCCTGCAATTTGATTGGAGATGATGCAAGAGATGATGTAATGGGGAATCCCCGAATACGATAGAATATGAAAGAATTATGGGAGCTACTCACTCCTCCTGTATTGATACTGTAAGACTGATGGCAATGTTTCCATGATAAAAGATTTCTTGAACGACCCAGTATAATTCAAATCAATGCAGAGTCTTCAAGGTGGACCAAATAAATATATTAGCTAGATTCAATATATCATGTCAGGAAGTAGCGTCTAAATGATTTCCATATTCGAACTGTAAGATCGATGGCAATGTTTCCATGATGAATTATTTCCTGAATGACCTGGTATAATTCAAATACATGATCATGATTTACAGCCGCACAGAGTTTTGAAGTTACCAGATGAAACCGACGGTTTCATTGGCGCAAATAGGTCGAGGTTAAGTCTGATCTATTTTGGAAGTCCAGACGCTGATACATTGGTACAAGGGATTGAAGGATCAAAATATGAGCCTATTATTGCATCCCATCACTATGAACGGAGGACTGAACGGGCCAGTAGAGAAGGTTATAAAGGGACGTATCAAGAGCTGCTGAAAACACAATAATGCAAAAACATACAGAACACTTCCTCAACACTACACAACCTTTTCGTTACTTTAACTGGTTTTATAGTCTATAAGTATTTTAGATGATATCACATTATGATAGAGATAAGATGACACGATTAATTGAGTAAAGTGGATATAATGAGAAAACATGTTTAACATGTGTATATACTTAGCTAATTTAGTATTGTTATTATAATATAATAACAGTATTAATAGTAATCAATAGCATCACTATATATCACTATTCAGTTACTGCAAGTATCTAAATTGAAGTTTATGAGTGCCAATCACTGTTTTAAAGGTGAAAATGTTAATAAATATATGAAATAAAAACATGTATTTGATTGTCAGTTATGATTTAAATCTTAGTGCGGAAGGGCAGAGGGCTTCCCGGACGGGACTTTAACAGGATCTGAGGATTGTAGGTACCCTGAAAATGCGTTTGAGGGGGTACGTACAATGTAAGAGGTATATTTGAGTGAAACCCCCGGGGGAACAATAAGCCTTTAACGGGGAATGGGAGGTAGGTACCCTGTAATAGCTTTCATGGGGTGCTGGTAGAAGGTTGGGTTTTAACAGGGGGTAGACGTGTAAAAGTGGGACAGGGGGGTGAGGGTGTAGGTATGTGTACTCTTTTTAGAAGCGCCTACACAGGGTAATGGAGTACTAGGTGTCCTGTAGAAAGGAGCCTTGACATGGGGACCGTCAAGGGGGTAGATGCCCTTTTTAAAATAGGGCCTTAACATGATATTGAAAGGATAGGTCCTCTGCTTAAGAAGAATCTAAAAATGGGGATATGGAAGTAGATTCCTATTAACTTTTTACAATTTCGGCTGTGGAGAATAACACCAACGGGTAGGGGGCGGGGGCGGGAGGCTATGATCTCGAAAACGAACAATCAATAGTATAGTTTCCATATAGCTTTTGAAATCTAGCTAAATCTAGAGATTTTAAGAGATTTGCATATTGAACCTCTAATGATATACATTACCTTCTTTTAAATGGCATATTTGAATTCAGTGAAATGTTTTCTTCTATAATAGCTTTGATTTAAACAGTTATGTAATTTGAATAATTTTCTATGACAATTAAAAAAAACTTGGGCTAAATCTCCATAGATGCAATGCTAAAATTATTTAAAACCTTGGATTATTTGTATGTCAACCAACATTTGCATGTTTAATCACACCATGTACATAAACAGGGTCATCGTGTGGTATATCATTCAAGTTTTATACAGATTCAACTAACACTCTTTGATAAATCATGAAGTTAAGCCACTTGTCCAAGATTTTAGCATGTAAGTGAATGGAACTCTAGCCCAAATTAATAGCTGAATAAAAGATGGCAGCACTAGATTTCATTGCTTTTTCTGCTATTTAGAAACTATCCTATGTATGAAGTGCCAGAATGTTTCGGGTGAAGAGCCCAACTACGAAAAATAGTTTACAAAAGGATTAATGCAAATGCCTTTTATATGAACAAAATGTCAACTACGGGGGAGTTTCCTGCACCTGCGATATGGTTTGTTCATTTAGAATTAAATAAACCATGACTATATATTCCATTCTGACAGAATTTCATCTCATATTATTATTATGTTCGGAATCCTGGTTCGGAATGTTCCCGGGGAATGTTTCAAATAATAATGTCAGATAGATTCAAAATAGTATTGATGATACACATAGACACTTAATTTGGATCCAGTTTGAATTTAATTGGCGGATTCATAAAATCCGCCAAATTAAAAATCCGTCAAAGGAGCACGTAGGTTATCGCAAACAATTTCAGAGGGTCATATCTTGGATTATTTCTATTTTCTGACAATGAAGGTTTATCTTTTAGATCAATTCATAATCTCAAATAAAATTATATACAGTAATAATAAAGTCAAACAAACTCTGAGATATTTAACTAGCAATCAACCCATCAACACTCTTTTTCAAAGATGTTGACCCCATTTTCACCAAAAATGCAATCATTTTTTACAATGTTTAATGCATTACTATTCTCTATTTTGATGTATCAAATAGTTCTTGAAAGAAAATTTAATTGCTTTAAGATAAGTGTTTCCCATGTTATTTCTCCATTGAAAAATCTCATGCTATCCATTGGTTTCAGTTCATTTTGTCATCCAAATTCAGTATCTTTAAAGTCCCTGGAGCAATCAACTTTTCCTTTTAGCAAATCAAACATGTCTCAAAGCACATTCTAAAATATGCATTCAACAATATAATAAAAGGTTGCATTTTTGGTGAAAATTAGGCCAACATTTTTGAAAAAGTATGTTGATTGGTCCATTGCCCCTTCAATATCACTTAGGTCTAATTAACTAAATTATCAATATATATACTTTTCTTGAAGATAATGAATGGATCGAAAAGATACAACCATGTTCATGATCAGAAAATATTCATAATTCAAGTTAGAATCGTTTGAAATTGTGTGCGATTACCTACGTGCTCCTTTCAGTTTGGAATTTTTGTCTAATACACATCAGAAAAACTTCTGGGGCCCCATTTCCTGTCAACATGTCATCAATTCTATATTCTTCCAAAAAAATATAGAAAATATCTTTTCATATTTGTTTATTAAAATTGTATTCGGGTTTGAACAAAACACTCAATCGGCCGGCGCCCGGCCGATGAATCGGAGCAAATGTGACCCAGGCATATGAAGGGCATATGTTTGAAATCCTGGGAAAATGCTCTCCCCCAATTTTGCAAATATGGTCTAGAGCTAATGAACCCTCTAATTTGTTTTCGTTTACATGAGCAACTAACAAATATGTTTATGCTCATTCTGTCTCAGCTTAGTTTTAATTAAATTTTACCCCCACCCTTCGAACGTCCTTGTCTCCCTCATTTTTGCAACCCTACATTCAGTTTCTTTTTAAACAAAATCAAGAAATATCCGTCCACATATCAGGTATTAAACCAATAGTTGTTTATTATAAGATTATGTTTATAGATCATAAGCTATTTGTAATTTCAGCTATAAAATTAGCCCTCTCCCCCCTCTTCTATCTCTAGATACGCGGAGTTTCTAGACCGGCTAAGCACGTCTAGAAATTACTAGAAATTCCACATTTGATGCAGTGCATGTTCATATATTATATGAACTTTTTCGTCAGACAGATGGCAGTAGTAATTTCTTTGTACAATATATTCTCAGAGAAGAGGAGGAAAGTCCAACGAATTCTATAAAAGGAAAAAAACATCTACAGTTAATCTCTATCTTGTTCATTAATGAATTCTGGGTCACACCATCCGCTTTATCAGGAAAATGATTGGCAAAACACCACTTCCATCTTTCCGAGGCAGCAGACAGGACCATATACCTAACCAATTTTAATGACTAGAACAAATATAGCTTAGAACAATCAAATACCACCCTTTCTTACAATACCTTGTTCCCATCTGGTTCTCTGAATTTTCATAATTTCTCAGATTAGACAGAATTTCAACAGAGAGGCGTATTTTCTTAAATTATCAAACTCAGTGTGCAATACTGAAACACTCTAATGCGATCGAAATTGGTGTCAAATTAGATCTGTCAGTAAAAATAATTCACTAAGTAGAAAATTTTATTTGCTGAACATGACCTCAATTTATTTTTAATCACATACGATTGTCACCCATCACATTGCACGCACTCTGCAATGTGACTCATTGTAGATCTATACTTTTTTTCTTGACATTGACGACATTAAATTTTTATACCATTACCATAAAAGATTTCCCTCATTGCATTATCAGACTTTGCGGAGAAGAGAAAGGAGAAATAAATTTTTATTCGTATTGGATGGATACTTGATCGAAAGAACATTTGTTGAAATAAACATTTCATATGAGATACACGTAGAACAATTTATTTAAAGAACATTTGATCTAACAAAATAGGATCAACGGAACACTCGATATACACCCATTCTCAATAAGAATGCAAATTCCAGGTATGAATCTGACGAAAATTAAAGTAGCTTTAAATGGTTTAAAGTTTATGTATTTTTATTTGAATATATGTTAAGTATTTAAAGTGAAAATATCTTCATCAATCTCATACCCCGTCACATGTTGAAGCTTATCTAGTATTCATTTAATTATGTAAGTCTCTGTCATTTACATTATAAAGGGTTGTCGTAGCAAAAGACCTAAATTTTCATTCAACATATTATTCTCATGTCTGTTTTTGTTCCTAACAATAAGGATATATTTTGCCTTAATACTAAATCATACATCAGGCATTTTGAAGATACATAAGTGGAAAGAATTCACATTGAAGTCAACAATTACATGTGACTTATTATTCTTTTTCACAAACAAAACCTTAGTTCTACATGTCATTCCAATTTTATATAAAATCAGTCTGATAACATTAAATTTATCTTTTTTCTGATTAGAAATAGTGTTCAGAATCAAATAATAGCCATATCTTGGTGTTTGATATGCCATACAAAATTTATTTGAGATTTGTATATCGTTACACCCTTGATAACGTATATGATCCAAAATAGTAACATCGTAGAATGAGTCATATCATATATGTGATCATGGTTAAACCATCAACTGGTGCTTCTTTTATCATGTTTACACTGCATTTTAACCTATAGTAACATTTAAAACAAACATAGTTCAGTGGACCATCATATACCGTAAATGATGGTGAAAACTTTTGCAATAGAAACATTAAAGCTAACACAAACATTATTTATGCACAAAACACGTAATGAATTAATATATTGTCACATACGCTATATGTTGGAATAAATAGTAGCCCGGACAGAATTGTTCAATGGTCACTTTTTCTCAAATAACTTTTTTTTAATTTTCAGTATTATCATAGTCTGATCACATATTTGAAAACTAGAGTAAAATTCTGACATACAAATTTTTTTTAAAGAACATCTCCTAATTTATTGATATTATAGGCGTTCGTAGTATGACTGACGCAAATACATTATTCATCATTTTTCCTTATATTTGTTCAAAATGGCGGCATATTTTGTAAATTTGAGTGTTCAATTAAAAGTTAATATTTAAAGATTGTCACAGGACTATAGGGCCATGCTGCCACTGTTACAATCCTGATGTAATGCAGCAACTGACCAATCATCAAGTACAAGAAGTCAACTCCCTCCAAGGGTATATGAAATCAACTCTAT